TCGTGGCTAAAAACAAGATCGAGATTGAGATCATCAAACACACTATGTATCTGAGCAAGGAACTTTCTTCACAATGTGGTGGTTTGGAACTGAAGCCATCAAGGAATTGGAGACAGCTGGCCACTGTCTCTAGGTAGCATAAAAAACAACCCATCCTGGTAGTCTGTTGGCTTCCTCTCCTCTGGCACCACGCCGTGTTACGTTGATTTTCTGTATAGTTTATTTTGCATTTTCTTAGTGTACCTGGCATCAATTTTCACTGGAAGCTTCATTTGTAAGAATTTACATTTTAGTAATCTAAATTAGTCTTAGTGTTAAATAGTTAATCCCTCACATGTGCTTTCCTCTTTTTCTACGCTGGGCCATAAGACAGAAAAAAAAACAAGTTCAAAGCAGAGCACAGAGAGAGTATAAAAAGTTTAGAGAATTTAAACCTCAGATATAGCTGTCCGTAGCTTCCTAATTTCCCATGCAGGCAATCTGACTGTCTCTACATAACTTCTCGGGCTAGACTTTCACCAGAAGCTCACCTCAAAGTGTATCTCTCCTGACCAGTTTGTTAATACATTCAATTGCTTCCTTCCCCTCACCCTTGAACATCAAGTCATCGTTCCATTCCCTAGCATCTCTTCACCCTCCTCTCTCCTACCCCATCTCCACCCCAATTCATCTCTCCCTGCCAGTCTTTTGTCCCACAGTTTGCCTTGGGCCCCAGAAACTCAGCCAGTCCAGACTAAAAGTTTTTCCACACGCAGAGCTGGAGCATCTGGATAGCTCTGCAGTAAAGCTCCACATTTATTTCCCATTATTATCAGTAATTGAGGGGTAAATAGTGGACCTTTCTCTGTTTATATACATTTGTACCAAAGATGGTTGGAACAACAGTGGAACTCTTTTCTTTTCCTCCTTTTCTTTCAGTAGTAATCCTCAAATTTCTCATTTAGTTCATTTAGTCTGTCTTTTTATTGGTGTTTTTGCAATGTATGCTACTTCGGAATATAGATCCTCTGAAAAGAGTTGGTGGTACTGTCACATCTCTTTCCTCTGGTTTTTCCTTTGTGGCACTTTTTAGCAAAGCTAGCAGCGTGTCTAGGGATAGTAATGTCGGTTGGTCAGCTTACCACTTTGATCCAGGCGGAAATATCTTCACAACTTTCACGACCTGGGAAATTCGGTATAGACATGCATGTCCTCCTCCGGATGATTTGTAATAACTTCTGGTGCCATCATCAGGTCAAAATTTGAATTTGTCTAATATCTTTGGTTTATAGCCAAATGCCTGCAAAACTAATGCCATTCCTTTTAGCCTCAGCTGCACTTCTGTTTGTGTTGCCTTACTTATGTAAGCATTTAGCACAAAGCACTGTTGTGCCTAAGTACTTCACAAAGTCACTAGCACTGATATAAACACAGGGCCTATGTTTTTGTTTTTGAGTGGTTTGCAATGGGAGCACCGCAAAGCCTTTTGACACTATGCTACAAACAGTAGGAGAGTGACAAGAAATGAATACTGCTGGTCTCTATCCATGTCTGTACCAGCAATCCATTCTCATCCCAGGGCGTCACATATGGACGCTTTGTCAAGACCCCTTGACGTTGCTTTTTAGCGCCCTGAGTACCTTTTTCAGCGCCATTTTTGTACATGTGAGGCTCCACGGTCAAGTTTGCAAGAATAAAATATGCAACAGACTTTAAAAACAAAACTAGTGGTTAACGATGTGAAACAGCACAAGGTTAACATTGTAAAACGTTGTAGTTTGGTCCTCCAACGAACGCCGCCTGGCTCTGCCATCCCTTCACACAAAACAATCCCAGTCCTGGCTGTTCTCATCTGTGACACCACGATGGTGGAACTAGCACACGCCATCAGAGCAGGGGCGTCCCTCTCTAACTTCAAGGGAGCTCTTGAAAACTCATCTCTTCCAAGAACACTTCCTCTTATAACACTTCTAACTCCTAACCTCTAACATGCACTTCCTGTGCTCTTCTTCTTCTTTCCCCTACAATGTTATTGTATTGATTGCACTTTGTTAACTCTTACTTTCTTCCCTAGGTATTTACCCCATTGATGTGATATGTACTATGAGCTCTTACTAGTATGTATTGTCAGTTGTAGATCTGTTGATGCTTGTATGTTGGAAACGAGCACAACAAACGTCTCCTGGGTGAAAGCCCTTTTTTTTGTCCCACCCATTCACACCAACCAGCTCCTTACTCGGAATTTTCAGGACCAGATGAATACCAGTACCATTATCAATATCAAAATGAAAAAAAAAAATGCTTGGAGGAACATTTCACAATGCCTCTATCAGGTTAGCAATCAGCTAGAGGCACTTCCGCAGATAGTATGGTAGCAACCAAGGACTGAGCTGAAAAAACGCCCCCAAAGCTCTCTCCATCACTCCCAGTTGGATTGGATTGGATTGGGACAAGGTAGTTTGATAGAAATCATTTAAAAACAGTAAATCAAAACAATGTCAGTCTGTCAGAACAGTGTTAACCTCACAGAGCACCGGTGCATAAGTTTGATTAAGAATAAGGAATTCATCGTACCCCTGATGAAAGATGTGTGAGGTGTCCAGCCTCAGCAAAAGGTGGGACTAACTTGCCCTGGAAAACTGGACGGCTTCCTACAGGCAGCAGCAGCACTAAATAGCTCTGACAAGGGGTCACATTTCTCACTGCATTCAAATCAGAAGGGCTCGAAGGTATGAATATTGCTGGCTGGGCCGTCTCCTCCACAGATTAACTTCATTATTTATGGTTGGCTAATCTAAGCAGTGAAGAAAAGAAAAGGTTGGTGCCAGAGCACACCTGGTGATTTTGAGGAAAAGTGGGTTTTTTTTTCTGTCTGTAAAAAGGTAATAAAAAAAGGGGAGTTATAGTGTTAACACTTTACATCTTCTTCTGACTACCCCACGTGGGTTGTAGAGGAAAAACAGAATCGCAGTGATCTTAAATCCACCAGTAACCCACTTTTTAGACTGATTTGTTAGATATCAGTAAGGAAAAAGGACACGTTAAGGGGTTTCTGACAGACGTTAATTGGTTTATGATCAACTGTGTCACTGTACAGAAATTGCTTGATTTACTACCACTCCGATTAAAAAAGAAAAATAAAGTGACAGTGCACACGATATCTGCTGAAGGTCAGTATATCCTGCATACAAAGATCAACAGTGACACATGAATTTGTCATATGCAGACGGCAGTAAAATACAGAGTGACGAGAGCCGCAGTCCAACTCGTCAAGGCGGTTTACGATGTGTTCCATTGAAGCTGTCTGAAGAGTCTGCTAAGGCACTCAGCACCAGTAATGACCAAATCCCGTGGGCAACCCTGGAGCGCTTTCCATAAACATTGGCAACAACGGTGCCGCTCCACACTCTCACACTAATCCTCTGCCTTCACTCTGAAATGGGACATCCACTCACTTTTGGAAAATGAGAATGAGGAGTAGAAGGTGTGCATACCAAACAGAATTTCCCTTTTTCTTGGCATTTTTGTGGTTTTACTTAGCAAAGATTTGGATGTTGTTGTCTGCTATGAGAACAGACAAATTAGGTAAAAAGATAGGTATACTTTCATGCAATAACTCAAGCAGTCCTTTCCTCAGAAAAGTGTTAAGGTAAGGCTGGTGTATTCTTTATTTATATTATATTTATGTATTTTCTTTAAGCATGGAAGTTCCTTCTTGCCCTTTGAGAACACTTACCAAAATAATCTTAGCTCAAATGGTCCATTAACTAGCTCACAGAGCTATCTCGTAAGACATTTGGTCCTGAAGTTGTCATTATGTTACCTGCGTTCCACGTTGAGGTCACCTGAGGAGACCTGAGCCATCTCTTTTCACTGTATGAAGGCTATCGGATGCTGTTTAAAGGTTCGAAAGGTAGAAAGTGGACCTTTGAGATTAGCTTATTTTACTTTTTGTCACTCATCCCTAAGCCCATTTGTTTGTGCAAAGACGTAAACCTTTTAAAAACTGGTCCATAAAGTCCAATATTCACTCTTCCTTTAGCTCTCTTTTGGTCTCTACCAACTCCTGAGGAAACTATTTGGCTCTTAAACGCTAACTACGGTATTTTTCAACCTATTTCCCCATGTTTTTGTGTCTATATGAGTCTGGTGGCTTTGAAGAGAGCAAAATAGTGACATGGGAATATAGGGTCCAGGTAAAATACCAGAGTTACTCTTTAAGCTTCTACACTATACAAGCTATAATGGCTGGCATTTGGTGGAGGTCAGTTAGTTTATGATGGGTTCATCAGAACTTTTTCACAGAAAACAGCTGCCTGATTTGTCTGGATGCATATTGATGAGAGGTGAAAGACTAAGCCAAAACAGTAAAGTTGCAGACTGGAAAACTGAACCCGATAAACTGGAAGAAAAGCAGTGGTAGACTAAAACTTTGATCTTTTCCGCAAATCAAATAAAAAGTGCTGCATTTATGGACTGAATACTTCTAAACAATGATGCGGGTTTGTAGTTCTCCCAATAAAACTTGCGGTAACACCTCCTCCCAGCTGAAGGGGATGTGCCACTCAGACAGTCCTCCTTGCTGTAAACCAATCAGTCACACATTTGCCTCCGGCCAGGAAACAGCATGGTGTCTCACAGCACTATGACAGCAGTCTCAGTAAAAAACACACTCTGTACTTGCTCTCTCAATAAAACGATCAGCTGGAAAATGGTCAACACAGCAGTAAAAACCCACAGAGTGAAACGCAGCACTGAAACAAGCTCGAACACAGTGACTGCCATGGTGGCTGCATCTCTCTCCCTCTGCTAGGGTATCATTATCCACTTAATTTCATCCACCCGGGGTTGGTATAATGACCACGTTCAAAATCCCTTATCAAGCAGAAATTCAGAATGAATCACAAATCATGTGAGCTCTAAAGTATCAAGTTAGTGAAACAAAATAGAAATGGCTTTTTGTAAAGGGGAAAAATGAGAACAAGAGACGGAGAAGCAAAGAGACAGAGCAGCAGACTTACAGCTCGGTATTTAGTGGCCACCTCATTCTTTTCCTTGTTAAGCTGGGTGTTCTGCTCCTCTAGCTCGCGGACCTTGGAAAGGAGTCGGTCACTCTGCTCTATGGCTCTCCTCAGCTCCTCTCTCTCCCTCATCCCTGCCTGCTGTGTAAGAATGTGCTGCAACGACAGACACACGACCTGGAACAGCACTCACGCACACGCATCCAGATACTCACACGTGCACATACAGAAAGGCTGATATTTCAGGCTTCTGGCTGGCTCTCTGACTGAGTTTCCCTCACTTTTGTTCACTTTTGGCCACTCTCTCCTCCATCCACTTAGGACACGCGCACAGGCACAAGCACCAACACCCTGTCAAAGAGCTTTGCCCTCTAAAAGACGTTCACATGCATGTATGAATACACACACGTGCCCAATTTCCTCCCCTCTCTCCAGACTGGCCGCCTGCTGGCCTTCTTTCACTAAAACAATATAAAACTTCTCCTTGTGCAGCTGCATTCCTGCTGAGTGGTCTGGAGTCCTAGAGAAAATCTGAGTTGACTGAGTGCAACATCCCGCCTAGCCAGGTGGATGGGAGAGCACCAGTTTAAAAAATACAACATATGGCTCTCTAATATCACTATATCAAATAATAATCAATTCATTAAGACACCAAGATTACTGGTAACCCAATATCTCGTACTGGATGTGCGGGTAGTAGTGCTTGTCAAAATGAAAACCACATTTTTAATAAACTCCTCCATCAAGTCATCATCATCCCAAAAGCTGAATGAATTGATTTTTCACAGAGCAACATTAGCATTCATTTGGAGTCATGCTTATCGCTTCTTTGTGGGTTTGCCAACAAGACATCCCCTGTCAGTTTACACATTCTCATTTGATCCATTTTTGACAGCCTCCACTACCGATGGTCTGATTTAACCTGGTCTCACTTCAAAGTCGTCACATATGGACTTTGGGCAAGACCTCTTGCCATCACTTTTTAACGCACTGGCTACCCCTTTAGCATCATTTTTCAATGCTACAAGCATTATATAAATTAAATTTACTGTCACATCAAACTGGAGAGATAATAAATAATAACTACCCTAATAATACATTCTAAATTTAAGTAAACTAAAGGCTGCATTTAAAAAAAGTGCCTTATTACTGAAATAATCTAACAAAAAATGTAGCTTGACGTGATTCAAGTGTAGTCTTAATGAATTTTATTATAAACACTCAACACATCTTAACAAATGAACAGCTTTAATGCCTCCTTTTCTCTTTCATTCCCTCTTATATACCGCTTCATTGCTTTCTCTTGTTCAGTGAGAAACGTGAGCTCTGGCTTGTCCTGCCAGCTGGGATTGTATTTTCAGTTCCCTGAGTTCAGATTTGAGTGGGTACGTTAGCTCAAAAGATATGTGCTTTATCTTGTAGTGGTGCTTCACATTGTCAGTTTTAATAATCGTGACAGTCTCGGATCATATGAGAGATTCTGGGTTTGAACTGCCCGTGGGAAGAATGTACATCAGTACATTCTTGATTAAAAGCCCTGTGAAGTCTCTTTGCTCTTTTGTCTCCTCTCTCCCTGTGTGTATCTCACTTGCAATGCTTATCGGAATGCACAGATTTGATTGGCTGAGCAGCATCACATGAGACAATTGGAACACATGCAATTTGTCTTTGAGTTTCCTGGGCTGCTAAACCAGTACAGTAAATGCTAGAAAATCTGTGAGTGTTAAAATAGAAACGCTCCGTCACGAGGTAGTGCTTCACATAAATAAATAATAAACTTCTCATGTGAAGTCAATAGTGAACATTGACTTTGACTTTTTAAGTTAACTTACATAACTAACATAGCCAACTTATTTTAACCCAAACCATGATCTTTCCTAAACCCAACCAAGTAGTTTTGTTGTATAAACCCCACCTAATTTCCTTATAGTTAGCTTGTAGTTATAAAAATAATCCATAATTATTTGTGTAACATGGCACCTTTAAAGAGACATTATAACAATGTAAACAGGACCAAGACTAGCTTTTTTATTATGCATTTTGGTGCAAATGGCTTCTAAATAGATTCTTAATCTTTTTCAGTGCTCTTTTGCAGCAACACAGGTAGAGTTACTGTATTATCAGACTTTGGTTAGATACTTGCTATGGTTAGTTTTAACCTAAACCTTACAGTTGGAACCAGATGACCGTGATTTGTCAAATGGGACAAGAAAAAAAAACCAATAAAGAGACATTTAAGCAATCACACATGGCGGTTTAAAAGTCTATTTAATACAGTTTTTTCTAAAATATTTGTTTTAGCATTCCTTGCACTCTGGCACCCCACAAACAATATGAACTGTGAGATCTGATCACTGCGTGGTACAGAGGCCAAAGATCAACGGTAGAGTTCAGCCAGCAGTGTTTAGCTGATCAGAGGCAGGCAGAAATGTAAATGCCTTCTCCCTATAAGCAGCACCTCACCAGTAAACCAGACCACATCAAACAAGACTCTTAGTCCAAACAGATGTCTGTCAACCCCTGACAGATTGAGGTAAACACAATAATGTTCTGTGAACACTGGGACATAAACCAGTCTGGAGTTTAAAGGGGAAATTTACTAACCCCACTAACCCCTAATCCTAACCCCCAAAACAACGGCTAGTGGTTTGTATAAGATAAGGATGAAATATAAACTGATGTAATTTATATATCATTTAATTATACGTCATAACAAATCATTACAGAAACTCTCTGAGGGGCACTGATACATTCAATAAGTTACTAAGTCTAAGTAAATAAGGTTTTGTGGCATTGTTATGTAACTTTATTAAGTCAGGTAGTCTCATGAGATCTCTTTTTCAAGATATGTTCGAGAACAAGAGACCTTCATAGTCAACAACACAACCAGTTACACAAAGCCAGACAACAACAATTACGTAACAAATAGAATTAATAATATCAATTACATAGTCATAAAAACAGCAGGTAATTACTTTTTAAAAGGGGGAATGAAGAAATCTAACCTGAGGGCAGTTTAAAGTTCATTCCATTTAAAAGGTACAAACTACCTGAAACTAGCTCTTCCGTGATTGGTGTGGGATATCTACGGTTAAGTTATTAGACTGTGTACTGTAAGATTTGAATGAGAGAAGAGCTGTAAGGGTTTGGAAACTGGTGGGGCTTTATAGATGAACATCATCACATGATAATTCCTTCTTTTCAATAGGATAAATCCAGCAGTTGTGATACAATGCGTAAAGTTGAGTATGAAATGTATCTTTGGTGATAGTATGTATCTTTACAATACAAGGCCCTCAATCGGTCAGAAACACACAAATGTGATGCATTTTACACAGAAAATAACCTTCTTTGACCTAAATGTGCCATCCAAATAACTAAAGTGTGTATAGTTGCGGGGAGGAATTGTCTATTGCATGCATTTACGCATCATGACATATTCGATCAGTCTTCTTTTAGTTCTCTCCACACCTAACAAGATTCTACAAGTTAATTTGGCGTTACTTTCAAAGAAAAACAAAAAAAAACATAGTTTCTGTCCTTAGAAAAACATGTGAGCAAATTTTCCGAAGTGAGATCTGAAGAAGAAGAAGTTTAGAAGGGAGAGCTGTGTTATAGAAAGACAGGCAGAACACACACACACAGAAAAACCTGTTGCTGCTTGAGCGTCGGTATCTGTGCCGTTGGAAAAGAGCCGTCATTAGATCAGCTCTCTGAACCCTGACAGTGAGTTTACCTCGGGAATTAGACAGGGAAATGTGGTATCGTCTTTCTTAAGTGTGCAGCAGTAATTGCTATGTTGTCCAAATAAGATTTAGGACGTGTGTTTTAACCACCATGAGGATCTGCCTGTTGACACACCTGAATTCCTTTGCCTATAGTCAGTTAAAACACACAATATATTTACCTGTCAGTGCAGGATTTACAGCTGTATTCAACATCAATCTACACGCTGATGCCAGAAAAGCAGAGGAAGTAAATGTGACACATCAATGGTTCACCTTTAGCATGATCACAGAGCTCAACCTCTTAAGCCAGCGCTATTGTTGAGAATGCTCACATTAAATGCTGCTTTGTTGCTGCACATACCCTCTTTGCATGATGAATGTGAGTTACACTTTAATACATTTTTCGTGTTTTGACTTGAAGCCCAGAGGTGTTGTCCGATCAAACCTGTACAGCAAAACAGACACACACGGCACTTCTCCTCCCAGTAAAACAAACTTCCCAACTGTCCGTCTGATTCACAGCTCTGTAAAAACAGGTCGTACTGAGTTTAAAATATGAAGTTTGTTCCTAGACAATGCAGCAAGAAACCCCCTCTTCTTCTGATTCCTGGCATTCTGGTCAGTGGAGGTAACTGGGATATTTATCCCATGATCTTTATTTGAACAGCTGTTCACCATTTCAACTCCTATTCACACCTGTTACTGGCTACAGGCTTAAGTCCTTAAATGATGTACCAGTGTACATTATCCCACTTAGTGTTCACAATACACAAAGTCCAGATCCTGGTTTAAAGCTTTGTGTTGTAATGTTCAATGTTGATAGACTTGGTGAGGCTCGACCTGTCAACATTCAATAACTCACAAACCAAACCATTCTTTGTAGCAAGCTGCAGATTCTCCACAAAGAGGAGCTGTTCAGTTAGTATGAGAGCAGCCGACAAGCGCCACCTATAGGAAAGGAAAGTACTAGTACTACCAGAGACAAACGCCAAAGACGGTGGTTGTATGCACATATTAAGCCAATCGCGTGGTTCCACTGACGTAAGTGCACAGTTGAATTTTGCGACAGTTTTAAATGTTGTGGTGGCAGCGAGGAGCACGTGTGTGGTCAGATCAGATACACGTCCGCCAAAATACTGCATGAAAATGTGTCAGATTTGATGTGCATTAGGCCTACTTGCAGTAAGTGTTAGAAAATAGTACGGAAGCACATTGCATTCACCAAAGAAAAAAAAAAAATAGACACCTTACTTGTAATTATGAGAAAACTGCGTATGTCATAATTACGAGAAAGTATCTCGTGAGTACAAGTTCAGGATCTCATATATCAGAAATGATCTCGTAATGATGAATATAGTCTGTCAACGTTGTAGTAAAACCTTCTATAAAGTCTTCTAGCAACATTACCTTATAGCCTCT